AATGCCCCATCGTTGATTATCACAAACCTGTTTAGAATCGAGTTAGCATCGAATGGTTTCGATAATGTCCAAAAATTGCCATATACAATATAATGAATGGTGGCAGACAAGGTACTAACCTCGTCGTACCCAACCCCATAGGAGCAGGTGTATGTCACAGAACAATCGCTATCCGTGGAGGCGTATGTAACCAGAGCATGTCTAAACACAGTCTATCAGTTCTTACTTGAACACATTAGAGGACGCGCATCAACTTACGTTCCAAATAACCTTTGTCCTTGCGAATTGACTTTCGTCTTGTGACCAGACCCCTTCTTTCTTGTCGCGGGAGTTTTTTGGACTTTATTATTCCCAGGCCTAGGCCTTAGGGCGCCCGAATACCCACCCTTAACTATAGCGCCAGGGACAGATGCTTGAGATGTAATACAGACAGCATAACTTATACCGGCGACGGCTACTGCACCAATCCCGCCGGTGATGACACCCAGTACCGCACCCCCAGCAAGAATAATTGCGGTCACAGAGGCACACTTGGCTGCAGCGGACTGATTGTCTCGTTTATTTAGGTTCGAATATGTATTCACGACTGAGTTGGCGTAAATGAGCGCTACGTCTTTGGCGTGAACGTTTTCGGGGGGCATGTATCCTCGACAACAGTACTATACAAAATTAGTATGTAATGATTCCGTATGAGGTATATCGAATACCTTTTGATATCCTCCGTTACACGTTTGACTGCTAGAATTAGCCTCTTGTGCCTCTAGTTTGGAATTGACTCATCAGTTTGTGGCTGACTACTTCAACGTACTCTTCTTTTCTAAAGGGTGTGACAGGATATCGCATTAGTATGATCCTCCGTATCCATGGGAATATGTACGAAGCAAGGCCACTTACATCCCTAATTCTTTCACTTCAAGAACGTGGTTTGAATTTACGGCCAGAATGGAATCCAGCTCGTCCCGACAACCGCCAGAGCAGCTATAACCTATAGTGAGCCCTTGAAGAAGTTCGATTGGCTAGTTATATGAAGATTTTTCATACCTGAGTCCCTGGCCACGCCAACCACGCCATTCACACCGACCCTATAAATTTATTAGTTGCTTCTGTTGAGCGGCGGAATTAGAAAAGCCTACCGGATTGCCGCCCTGTAACAATAGATTTCTGATTAGTTCTCTATGCGGAGTGATAATATGAATCGCAAAAAGTAGAGGGAGACTAACTGATACACAGCATAGACTTTGAACCGTATCACGATCTGCGCATGATGTATTAAATTTGATGCCGTCGACCTGGCCACGCATGTAAGTAAAGGCGGTATATCCTTCCGCACAACTCTCGCCGCAAAATGAGGTATAACAGCTGTCCGAGATATAAGCCGATTTCCGTACTTCGGCTTCAATTCCAATCAATCAATAAGCAAACAACTCCCAATGGATCTATCTATTAATAAGACAGGTTGCATACCAATAGTGTCCTCGGACCAGGAATCATCACCGCCGTCAAAGAACACTCAGCCAGTGAAATGAATGTTGAATTTCCCAAGTCCAGTTCCAATCGTATGGGAGTTCGTGGTGCCATTCAGGTCATCAAGGTCAATAGCTAGTAAAAACAAGACTCTCCATTTAGTCTCTAGTCTTGACTAGTGGACAGGGATAAACATGACAACAGAGTAGATGGTAACTTTTCCTTACCCCAGATCATAGTCCCTCCTAAGCAGAGTGAGTTGGCGTAGTTGATTTTCTGGGCGAAAGTTATCTCGTCATCATAGCTGACCCATTGGTCATTATTCCAGGTTATCCAATTGACCCCGGCCTCTAGGAACATCTGTTAGTACAAATGTAATGCAATTTCAATAACAGGTAAGGCCCAATTACTCTTATCATATATAGGGGTAAGATTGTGTTCATTAATAATCTCGACGATTTCTATGGTGTTAAGACTGTGAGCCACTTCTCCCAAAACTTGTGGAAGGTATGTGCAATACGTACCAGCATTTGAAAGAGTTCCGGAGTTCCTAGTGCATCGTCCTGGAGCACCCCCCTGGGTGAAGCGACAGCCTGGTTTAGAACAGGAACTGTCTTCTAGAGTGAATGAACGGCCATACCAGCCGAGACCAAGTATAACCTTGGCGGGCTCAACGCCGGCTCGCCAGAGTAGATCTAGCCCTTCTCCAATTTCAGTCAGGTTTGTATGTGGTCGAACCTAAATGGCTGTCAGTATCTAGCTCATTGTAGCATGAAGAATAGTGGTAGGAGGGGGTTTGCGCGTGGGAGAACAGACAAATGGCCCTGAGAACTTGCTTGATGCATCCCAAACACCGTGGATATCATATGTCATTACGTTAAACCAATCCAAATAATGCTGCATTTTGTTAACATCAAACCAGCGTAGGTACCAAAAACTTGCAGGGAGTGTAGCACTTAGGCCTTAGAATATCCAGGAAGTTAGTCGTCAAGCACACATAATGGACACACGCAAACAGATCAACCGACCGTATTGGCCCTGAAAAGCCGCCCGCATCTCTTTCAGAAGTAAAACAAGGTTTGCAGTATCTTCGACTTTGCCTCCACGGTCCTCAGCACCGGGATACTATTCAGAGCTTTCGTCAATATTCCCTACTAAGTAAGTCGGGATGATTGGACACTGCTTACCTCCCAATCAAGATCGGCACCATCAAAACCGTACGTTTTCATGAACCTCAGAAGAGCAGAGATGAACTTCGCTCGATTGGCCGTAGTACTGACCATATCACTGAAAGTCGTGCGAGTATTCGGTGAATTGGTCTCGTCCTGAATCGTGTCATCATCAGGTCTTTTGCCTAGTAACAAACGGTGCCAAATAACTTACGTTGAATGACCAGCCCCCGATGGCAGCCCACACCTCCATACCACTATACAAGTTTTACGTTAGCTATAAGTCATGCTATTAGCCAAGTGGTAGACTCACGGGTGTTTTTTCTTAAGCGCAATGACTCGAGGAATCAATTCGGCAGTTGTGCTTGTCATGGGCGTTATCTCGAAAGTGGTTGGATGAAAAAACATGAAAGCTGTGCGTTTAATTAGCCAGCTGCTTTAAATTTTTTTTTTTTTTTTTTTTTCTTTTCGTAAGGCGTCCGATCCATACCGAAATTTAAATGCGTGATCCCGTCGAGTTTGAGCTGCTCGGGTGTTGAGGCCTGGCAGGGTCTTTCTATCGCCCTACTGAGAATCAGCTATGATCGGCTTGGGTATATATTCACAGCGAATGGTGTACCAAGATTCATAGTATGCAATCCTTCTTAACGCAGCAGAAGCGCCTCCTACACAGGAAGGGCGAGGAACATCTCCACACCCTCCGTAACTTGACTGACACCCAGTACCGCAGAACTCTACAAAAACATGTTAGATCTACTGTATCCGTAAGAAGGCTAGAATCGTACGATTCCCATGTGAAGTTATCCTTACCGGACGTTGACCCGCAGAACCCGTACTGGCTACAGCAGACGTTCAGAGGGCACTTATTTTTCCCTTCTATCCCATACTGACCACATTCTGCTTTCGCATCGCAGTTCCTAACAATGGTCAGTATCTTTCACTCCCGGGTGTAGTCGCCAATAAACATTTTCTGTGGGTTGACATACGAAATGCAGTTGTCTTTTCCACAAAAGTCCGGGGAATAACCGCAACCTCCTTGCTATACCAACACAATTATTAGCCATGACTCTAAAAGATGGAGTTGAACAGACTTGCCTTACTGCAACAAGCTCCGTTAACACAAGGGATCCCAGGGGCGCATGTTCCAATTGGCAGGTCATTTTTACTTGCGAGTTTGTGGGAGTTGTAGAGAACAGGGCGACCAGCAACACTTATATTGGCATCTTTAGCGAATCGTGGTGTTGACTTCGACGGAGGCGTAAATCTCGGTTTATACAATGTCTCGTTGAGAGCTTTGCCATCAGCAAGCCGGATCAGAGCAGTGACAAGCCATAGGCTCACCCATGCTACTCGGTGACGAAAATCCATATCAGGTCAGAATTTAGCGGGGCTAAAGTTCGTTTCCTCCCTTTGGAAATAAGGGTTTGTTGCTGCAAAGAGGGTATTGATGGCGGCAACAACTGGCCCAAAAGATGAAGGTCAATTGAACTCAGACACGTCCGTATACGACCTATATAGTATGTTGCTCAATTCCCCTGTACTGTCAAGCCTTGTCAATAATAACTGAAAGAGAAACATCCTATTCAGATACGAGCTCGACAATGCAGCTTCCCAGCCGGTGATAGGAGTCCCTTCGGCCATGACTATCGGTTGCATAATCAGTGAACAACGTATGACCCTGTCCCCAGGAAATTAAGAAGGATCTTGCATATATAAATGGCATATGTACGTAAATAAAATATGCGCCAAGGTTCAAAGTGAGTATGGGAAGGGACAGAGTATGGGAAGGGAAAGGGTATGATAGCAACTGTCGGAGAGAAGCGAACCATGAGGTTGGCGGAGAGCTAAGTTAAAGTTCGGCTATCGGGAGCGGCGTATGGAAGAATTAACTTTATCTAACTAACTTAAGTTAGCTAAACCTTCGCCCAGGCCAACCTTGGCGTCTCGACCATCCATTGGCATCTCGACCTCTTCGTATCCTCTCGACTCAGCTAGAGGAGATTGCAATGTGATTCCAGTGTGATTCGGAGAACTGCCCCTGTTTTCAGAAGGTGATAGAAATATGTTCCAGCATTGTCGAGCTACGTCGGCCAGGATTTACCATGCAAAGGAGTGCTGAGTACCCCATGCAAAGGAGGTGCGCACTCTATCAGGTTAGTGGAGGCTCTGGAAATAGGATCACACCAGCCATCCCAGAAATTACTACGATAATGATTATGGTATGTGTTGGAATGAATTTGGTCATGGGCCGACCTCGTATCCGGGGATTCTCCTGTTGCTCGCCCTGCAAAGGAGAGATATATTGAGGATCATAACTGCCTCAGGAGACTCGAGCATTCCGCAATTAGTGCCGTAAGTCAAGATATAATGATTCCTCGAAACCTCATCTCAGGACTCTATCTTTTGCCGTTCGTCGTTGCAGAGCTAAATATCTACGGGTATTTGGATCTCAAGACTCTTGCAGATGGATTTCATACGACTACGGCTTGCATCGCCGCCTTGTACGGCGTCTTTTTGCTTTCCCCAGTTTCCATTGACATAATCTAATTCTATTATTTAGAAACCAAACTGTTGATTGCGACGCCAGGACTGCAGTTGTTGCAGCTGTTGCTGATACCTACTACTGGACATTAGACAATGTGACCACTCTATGCACTTCCCAATGCCAACAATCACTCACCTCCTGGACCTCCGCCGTGGATGCGGCGTGTGGGAATCGCCCTATTGTCGAAGATGGAATAGTGAAGCTTGCCTCATCCACTCCCCTTACATATAAAGAGGGATTCGATTTGGTTTGCCTCAAATCAGGGTATGACCATTATTCTCTTTATAAACGTTTTGAATGTGTTAAGCACAGCTAACACTATGCACCTACAGAGACTCGTGGTGCATGATCGAGTCTCAGGAGTGGGAAGGATCAGATATCCTCAAATATCCTACAGATTACTGCTCCACTGGAGATCCAGAGTATGATGGGCCAGAATGTTTTGAGAAAGGGTTTGATCAGTTAGCCATTGAAGCAGGCGATGAGCGCATGACTTCTCTTTACGAAAAAGATCTGGTAGGTCGGATGTTATGGCGGGCTAAATAATATCATCTTCAAGGCCGCGCTAACTAACTATCTTATTTTTCATAGCTGTGCAGTGATTGTTTTCTGAAGGTTTTCCGCCAACGATTGCTGTCACCGTTCCTTCTCAAGGGCGGATATACATCATACCTTGTCGAGCAATTTCAGGATATGCAGTCGTATTGTTCCACAAGCATGCCCTATGCTACATCCACCAGTGAAGTCTTTATGGGAACAGCCACACAGACAATGCCAACAGGATCCCCCCCGCCAACGACTACTTGCGGTGGACCCACCATTCAGCCCACAGATCCGCCTCTGTCATGTGAGGCTATCACTGATAAATATAATGTAACTACCGGAGACGTTCGTCACAGAACTGGAAACGTTTACTGCGAGTTTTCGGAGCCGCTGTGTCTTCCAGAGTCCTGCCAAATTTGTGTAGTCCCACTTGGATCTACATGGTGAGTTCAGTCTTGCTTCCAAGCCCAGATTTTTGAAGGCTAACGCCATTGATCTATAGCACGAGCCTATTAAAAAAGTATTCCAGCCCGGAGTTTAATATTACTCTGAGCCAATTCTTGAACTGGAATCCCTACCTAGCTGGATCATGCGATCTGCTACGCTGGCACCAGCGAGTGTGTATAAGGTAGCGTACAGCCTTTTTCCATTTCCCTTTTTGTGAATACCCCTATAGACCTTGTCTTACTGTTTGACCCAGACCTCCAGGTGGTAGCTATGAGAGTCAGCCCCCAGTTCACCAGCCGACAGGTGCTTCAGAATATTATACTACCGGTAAGAGGCTGTCTCAACTCATAATTATTCGCCTTGGAAAGACGAGGACAACTGATTCAATTTTACGTTTTAGCCATTCCGCCTGCCCCCACATCCACGGGAACAACTCCATCATGTGGTCGATACTATGAAGTTGTCGCTGGTGATCAATGCAACACAATCGCTCTTCATTTGTGAGTCGGACTTCCTATCTATCATCCATGTCTTAATTCTAACTCTGATTTCGCTAGTGGGATAACTGTCGATGCTTTTCTTTCTTTGAATACCCAGATCGACGAAAGGTGTTCGAACCTGTGGATTGCTTACGCCTACTGCGTTGCACCTGGTAAGCAATCTCCCAAACTTGATACAAAATGAATATCAAAGTAGCCTTAAGCAAGGATATATGGGGGAGTGTTAATTAAAGGAAACACTGCCGTATTATAGTTCAAGTGCCCCCAAAATCCACCAACGGTCTATGTGGTCCAAATAACGGTTACGCAACCTGTGAAGAAACGGGTTTTGGGGACTGCTGTTCTATCAGTGGATATTGTGAGTCCAGCCATTTTACCCTAGCCACCGTCATTACCCCCTGATCCTCATAACCGGGTACTCATGACGCTGATTGCCCTGTTCGTACTTAGGTGGATCAACCAATGACTATTGTGGACCAGGACATTGCTACTCAGGGAAATGTGCTCCCAGCAACGGAACTACCGTCACCCAGGATGGGACGTGTGGTATGTGAATCTAAATTAACAACCAAAACCCCTTTCATCCCGCAAGTTGTACTAATTGCCTCGTAGGACCTCAATATCATGATTGGATCTGTGGTGACTCAGCTTTTGGAAAATGCTGTTCTGTCTATGGATATTGCGGGAGTACGCCGGACTTCTGCGCAGCAGGGAATTGTCACTCGGGTGCCTGTGATACAGACATTGGCGAAGCGAGTATTGACGGTTCGTGCGGACCAAGCTTTGCAGGAAACAAAACATGTGCCGGCACTCAATTTGGCGCATGTTGCAACATGGAGGGATATTGTGGAGATGGAACCGACTACTGCTCACCCGGGAGATGCTATTCTGGAGCGTGCCAAGGGCCCTAGGATACATTCAATCGCTTTATATGTTCGGTCCTCTATCTAGATTTGTGGATATAATGAATTGTTAGGGTGGGATTTAAATGAGTAGCTATATGTATTACATCGGATTAGTAGTATGTTTTAATTTGTTATACATAGTCATATAAGAGCTAGACTCCATATCCAACTGTGACTAGTTAACTAGCTACAGGCCCTTGTCAAGTTTTATTTACCTAGCTAACTATTAGTTATTGACTGAACGGAGGGCACCCCAAACCACCAACCACCATCTACCGGACGACCTCTCACTTGCAATCAGTCGACAAAATATCGAAGCTGGTATTTAGCAGAGCATCCAAAAAATGACAGAATCCCTACCAAAGGATAAGGAGGAAGACAACGAGAAGGACAAAGAGGATAAGGAAGAGGACACGGAGGATGATGAGAACGAAGCAGAAGAAGAAAAGTTTGACCCCACCCTCTGCGCGATGCTATACAACCGCCTTATCCGAATTGGCTTTGATGGCAGCAATCGAGAGCAGGACGGGGAGTCCCTTCGAACCAACTGGTTTGAAGTATGGAAGACAGACCCTAAGGTCGAAAAATGTCGCGAGAGATTCAGCGAGCCTCTGGTTAAATTCCTTGAGCAGATTGAAATAGTCGTTCGCAAAGATGGCTCTGCTCCCTATCACGACGTACTAATCTATAATTACAAGTCAATAATGTCACCAACAGGTATAGATGATGACCTAGGGTTAGGGGTGTTAAAAGATGAGGGCTATGACTGTATCTGTCTATTCTCAACCAATATGGCCTCCGTCCCGCATCGGTTGGGCTTAGTTATGGATTTAGACGATCTTCTTGTTCGATATATACCTAGCTTTTCTTGCCATTACGACATTGAGGATACCAGACGCTGGTATAAGTTGGAGGATGTGTTGCTTAAGCTTAATTGCATGGCCGAGATTGGAAAATATGTGCCTGTTATTCGCGACAATGAGTTCAGGAGTACATTGGAGCCTGGGTGGAAAGCCATTCCCTGGACAGATTCCACTCTTAACGACACACTCGCTGCGTGGGAGGACCTGGTTAATACGATTGCTACACGTCTTCCTGACGATTCTTCCAAACGAGATACCCAGTCTGAACCTGAACGATTAGCTCCAGAGGACAAAATACCGTCCTCCATACGCGGCTTTACTCGTGGATTTCTACTGCGCGCATTGAAACCGCCTTTCAAATTCATCGCTCCTGGGCTAACTGTCTACGATTATCGTGGCCCACCACCACCAATTCCCATGAAAAGGGACCGGGATGGGACTATGATATATGCCACACCATACCAGGAGATTCGCGGTGCAGTGTACCACAGTCCTATCATTCTATTCCCATTTGAGGAATCAGTGGAAGGGGAGGTTGCTGGGCTCTGGATCCTCCCGGAGGAGGACTGGGCAGACTCCATCCGCCTAGTTCTTCCATATGAGTTAAAGAGATTTCCTACAGCGCGTCGTATATTCTTCTATATGCAAAGCCGTACCTGTCTATTCCAGAGCCCAGAATGCCCGTTGTACGATGACCACCATACAAGTCTAAGGACTCTGTTCATATTTTGGAAAGAGTTGGTGGAGAAGGGAGTCTGGACCGTGGGTGCCGAAGGTATTGAGGGAGGGAAAGACTTCTATCGACATGCTGAGGATAAAGAAAAAGGGGAATGGTTTGACGTTGGAGAATGCTTCGATTTTCCGCCACACGTAGAAATTCACCTCTAGCTGATTGGGCCCTAGAATACTCTAGTCCTCCTTATTCTATTCTATATTAATTCCATACCTTCCTTCTGGCAGTTAGTTGCTTGCCAAATGCTGGGGTTCGGGATCCTGGGTATACTTGATAGCACTATAAGAATGAGGGTTGACATGTATATATCACGATGATTGAGCACGTTGAGGGATGTGGAGGAAGATATTAACATCTAGAATGACCATGGACAAGGTCACCAGTGCATTCGTCTGGTCCATACCATAATCAATGAGTTTGGGGTCTTCCCTGTCCGTTGACCATGATGTTGCAAGTGATGGTATTTAAGTTGAGGGTTAAATCCTATTAATAAAGCGCACCACTTAGCTGATGAGTAACTAAGTTCGAAACTTAAGTTAGCCAAGAATGTTAGCTTAGTAATCAATTTAGATAAGGATCACGTGCGTCACTGATAAACAATTTTTTGGCTGCAAAAGAAATATTTCTGACAAGTTTTATAGAAGCGACACAGAGGGGAACGAACAATACCTTTTGGCACGAGAATAAAAACATGGATTCATACGATAGTGACTCGTCCGGCATAGACGAGGAGCTGGACGACTACACAGAAACTGGAGTTCTTCTTGGATATGCTTCAAAGGAAGAACTTAGTGATGCTATCAGTCACTTAGGTGGATGGCCAGTGAGTATACCTTTCTTATTACAATTTTGACACCGCATATGGTTATTTACCTCTGGGAATGGCTCCTTGAAGATATTGAGCGTTAAATGTCAAAATTTCGTGCCCATTATTCCCTTCAATGCTAACAGCAGCTTTGTTCTTGTCAGACATGGCTTGACCCCGCGACCCCTCCACCAGGCAATTTCGCCAAATGCAAGGTCTGCAATGACCCAATGCCGCTTCTTCTGCAGCTCAATGGCGATCTACCAGAACACTTTGCGCACGATGAGAGATGGCTATATATATTCGGCTGCGTGAGGCGGACGTGCAGTCGCAAAAAGGGGAGCATACGAGCTCTACGAGCAGTGAAGAGGCACAAGACCGTCGAAGAGAGGGAGAAAGTATTTGAGAAGCAGAAAGAAGAAGCGCAGAATAAGCCCAAACGAGATCTAGGAGCTGATCTGTTTGGAGTAAAATCCTCCTCCGGCACATCGGGAAGCTCGAATCCTTTCTCGACATCCTCAATTGGTGGTGGGAACAGTCTTGCCAACCCCTTCGCTTCACTGCCCCCTACATCATCACTTGCAGCAGTGGTACCGCAGAAACCGGATGATGAGATGACGACATCACCATCATCCGCGGGGGAATCTCTTCCCGAGACATTTGCGCAAAAGGCTAGCATTTCAGCACAATCTTCTAAGCCCGTAGCTGGGCCACAGGCTCCCTGGCCAGAACAGTCTGCCTTCCCACCGCCTTACCCACATTACTTCTTTGACGCTGAATATGAAGCACTCTCCAAGACGGAGGCTCCAGTGCCTTCCAATGTAAGGATAGATACCCTCGAGGCAGAGAATGAGGGTTCTTCGTCAACCGGTACGAAGGAGACGGAAAAGGAACTATTTGAATCATCTATGGATAAGTCGTTTATTCGGTTCTCGACACGTCTGGAGCATAACCCGGAACAAGTACTGAGATATGAATTCCGAGGAACCCCACTGCTCTACTCCACGAGTGATGAGGTAGGGAAGCTATTTGCTTCAGAGAACACGAGTCAAGCGCAGTCAAACGTGAAGGTGCAAGTTAGCGGAAGCAAAGGCAATAGCAAGATACCTCGATGTGAGACATGTGGTTCAGAGCGTGTATTTGAGCTTCAGCTCGTACCGCATGCTATCGCCATGCTTGAAGAGGGCATTGAAGGAATAGGACTGGGGCCCAAGGACGATTTGGGCATGGAATGGGGGACTATCATATTAGGCGTTTGTGCTGCAGACTGTGCACCTGAGACCATAGGAGAGGCTGGCTGGAGAGAGGAATGGGTGGGTGTACAGTGGGAGGAGAGATTACAGCCTAAATGAATAGAGCAATTGGATAACAAAGGCAGACAGAAGATAGACAGCAAGTTGGAAGGCATAATTCGTTTTTTGATTCTTTTTTTTTGGTTTGGTTCTCGTCCAGCCGTTAGAATAAAGCCATTAAAAGACGTAACATGGGCAAAATGCAAAACCCAGTACCGCGCAGGTATCGTATCTATCGAAGAGATGAATGCAAAGGGGTTAAAAGAATAGGAAATAAAAGTCAAAAAGAACCATCAAGCAGGCTGCTCGAAACCCCTCCGAATAACCCTGCCAAACATCTCAATGCCGACCTTCTCACCCTTAACTTCACCCCTGGCTTCATTCTCCTTATTCCGCGGGACACGCACGGTGACGTTCTTTGCATCATTCGCACCAGAAGCACCGCTCTTATCAACCTCCCATCCACAAACATCTACAACAAACTTCTCCAAAGTGTCCAATCCCTTAACGTCAAGCCAATCCATGAGCATCTCTGCGCTGATTTCACGGAAAGCTTTTCCAACTTCGACCGCAATACGGACGCGAATCAACTCTTCGAACCCAGCTACGTCTGCAATAAGGTCCGCGTAGAGGTCATCTGAGTTTAGGGTTGACCAAAAGAGGGAGTACTGTGCTGATTCAAGCAAGGTGGAGAGACGAGCTAGCTTCTGTACTGATTCGACGAAGTCTGCTGTTTGGATGGGGAGGGTTGCGGAGGGGCCCTGGGCAGGAGCGGAATTGTGGAATGGTTGGGTGTAGGCGGGTAGGAGGGCGAGGGAAAGGGAGAAGGCGGGAGATGGGAAGACGGTCAGAGCCTTGACGAGGATGTTTGTTGTTGTTTCGATGTTGAGAAGGTGTGGGTTGAATTGGTAGCTGTTGATTTCTGGTCAGTTACTGAGCCGTATCAATTGCAATAGCATGAAGGAAGCGTGAATCTCATTTGGGTTGAATATCATATTAAAAGTTCTCCCCACATATACCAATGGCATAGTCGTGTTAATAGGAAACGTTTATAGGTAATTAATCATTTCAACGAGGGCAAGGCAGCGAAATAGCGAAAGCCAGTATAGAAAAAAAAAATTAGGAAACAAGATCAACGTACAGTTTAAGCAGGGCTAGGTTGGCATAGCAGTCAAATGTTCTGTCCTCACACTGCTGTACGACATAATCTTGGAAAACAGTGGTGGTCTCCGGGTTGTATCTGTCGAGGCCGTTTAATATGGCATCCATATGCGGCGGACGCGTCTTGCATTTATCGAAGCCCGTCGACATTGTGAGTTATTCTGCCCCGCGGGTGTGTATGTACGTGCTAATCCGTGGTGCTGTCTCCCTCCCTCGCTTCCAGGGGACGAGTAAAATGGGTATTAATCCAGTCGTGCAGGTAGTTCAGACTGTGTCAAGCAAGACTATCAAGGATTAGACGTATGATCGGCGCGGTGTAGAGTCGTTTTAGAGTATATTACTGCATGTAGCGCGGAAATGCTCAACGAACGATAAAACGAACAAACGACGATGTTTTCGCTTTTGATATTTTTGTGCTTTCGACTGTGGCTTTGTGCCCGTCCCCTTTTTGGCATGTTTATCCGAATCGCTTAGTCATAGCTTACTAAGTGAGGTCATTGTTTTTTGAAAGGTTGAAAGTAGACCAAGTAGAAAAAGCGCAGAGAAGAAGAGCAATTGAGGCAGCGCAGGAGCTGGCCAGGCCGTGACGAGCAGCCAATTGCATAAAGTAGACATGTTTCTCTTCTTCTGTCTGCCTTTTTGCCTGTGCCCTGTCTGCCTGCATCAAACCCGAGCATGGTCGGTGCCTCGGCGAAGAAAGTAGCATCACGTGAGGCCCCTCGGCTGCCCAGGACTAAGAAGAGTTTTCTCTTCGGTGTTATTCAAGTGTTATTCAAAAGCGCTGGGAGAGAAATCGCCATTTTGACTGCCAGCAAAATGTACAACTACGAGTACGACTGCAACTGCAACTGCAACTACAACATCAGACGGAGAGACACAAGTAAACAGCGGGATTAAAATATTTATTGGCGCCCGGAGGAGCACAAGCGGAGTTAAGTTATTAAATAGAGTAGTCGAAGTACAGTAGAGTAAAAAAGGTGGGATTAGGAGGGGGAAAAAAGGCGCTCGACACACGGCACACGGCACGAAGCGATGCGACGGTGGAGAGAAAGGTAAAGAAAAAGGTAACAGTACCAGTGAAGAAGAGAAAAAACGGAGCTGGGTCCCGGCCCTGACAGAAAGGAAAAAAGTGGAAAGAAAAACGGCAGGTGAAAGGAAATGGGATATCAAGAATCAGGCCGAGGAACGTTGCCGGTCCATGAAGCCGTGAAAATAAAAAATGAAAAAAAAAATAAAAGAAAGAAAAAAGTCGAAGGGAAGTAAGCCAGCGTGAGAGCAAAAGAAATCTATCGGTTGGAACGCAAAGCAGAGCAGTAACAGAGCAAAACACAGAACAGCAAAGGAAAAGAAACGAAACGGTCCGAGTCCGAGTGCCGAGTTCCGAGTTTCGCTGGTCCTTGAAGAAAAAAGATAAACACCCTGAATATGATGACTGAAGCAAAGGAGATGATAAGTTATAGGAAATGACAACAGAGAAGAAGAAAGAAAGAAAAGCCAGAAGGGGTATCGAAACCCATACACCAGCCCTTGACCGATAGTGCCCCGTCTAAATGAACTGGAAAGGAAAAAGAGTAAAGAACAAAGTAGAAAGTAAAAAAAGAAAGCCGTTGAACTCGTTGCGTTGCGGAGAGCGTTTAAATGGGCGGGTCGAGTCAGGTCGGGATAGTGAGGTTGCGCAAGAAGCAGTTGACAGGACGAGACAGAGAAAAGGCGGGGAGCAGCAGGTGTGAAGGAAAAGAAGAAGTAAAAAGAAATAAGAGTGCGATCCGAGTCGAGCTTTTTTGCTTTTGAGCGGGCAAGCGATTGGACTTTTTGGCGAAGCAAGCGAGCAAGAGTTGAGCAGAGCAAAGCAAGGAGGATAAGAAATAAGCATGGGAGATGGCGGGGATAGTGTTTTTTGCTTGCTTGCTTGCTTTGCCTGACTGAGGGATTAATGATGGGATGGATAGTTGAGTAAGTCTATGGGTTGGGTATGCCTGGTATCGATCGGGTTTGTTCGTAACGTCGTAAAGCGGTCTGTCGGTGGTGAATGATGCGTGATGGGGATTTGATGCTGGTGGGCCAGACCATGCCAGACCAGACCATGTTCGGGGTAACAGGTACTAAGCAGTTGTTGGGAGTAGCGTTGTTTTGGATTCAGATCGGCCATCGCATCGGCCACCCACCCATCGTGCATGGGGCAGATAACTTTGGCCGGTGAACAGGTTGGATAGCAGAGCCCGACCGGGTGGCAGCGGTGACGAAGCAAAAGCATGCAAGTCGGAGGCAGGGAAAGGATGATGATGAGGTAAAAAAAAAAAAAAGCAAAGGATACCTTGTTTGCGAGTCAGGCCTGGATGAAACGAAGCCTGACAGGGCAAGACAGGGCGGAAAGAGTTAAGGATTAGGGATAGTCGGCCGAGGAAGGATGAGGAGTGAGGGGGGAGGGACCGGGGTAGCAACTGGGCAGAGCAACACGAACTAGACAAGACAACCACCACGACCACGACCACCACTGGCAGCAGAACAAAGGCAGTGTGGGATGGATAGTTGGTTGGTTGATTATGCCACCATCCTTCTGCGCTGGGAGATGGGAATTGGCTTTGGAATAGAGGTGGACATGTTCAGGCCTGAGAACTGCTGGGACAGGCTGTGATCACTGCCAGCAGAGGTGATACCCGTGCTGCCACTGCCTCCTCGTAATCGATCAGAAGAAGAGCGAGAAGAAGTAGTAGTTGTGTTGGCATAGTCTTCGTAGTAAGCAGAGGCTGAGTCCGGCATATGAGCGCCGTGAGCATTGTCCGACGGAGAAGCGAACATGGCGCTCAGCTGCTGTAGCAGGGCCACGAATTGAGCATGTAACTCAGCAAAGATGTATTCGTTGCCGACGATTTCGATCAGGTTCCGGGCCCGGACCTGGCCTGCTCGTCGTGGCTGGCCGTCTGGATCGAGAGCCCGGCCGGTCAGGAAAGATGAGATAGGAGTGTATGCACGGGCAGAGATAGTAGTAGATGCCGTCGCCGATGAAGTAGTAGTGGTGGTAGATGATGATGAGTGGACAGGCGAAGGGCCGTATTCTCGGATCTTTTCTGATTCCTGGAACTTCTCCGCGGCACTGACGATGTTATTGGCAATGCGACCAAAGGTGCGCCAGATGAGGGGGCTGGCTCTAAAGGTGCGTCCGGCATCCTTGCCGGCGAGAGCAACGAGGGCGTAACTTCGACGCTTGCCGCGGGCCATGGGGTCTGGGAGACGGAAGACATAGGCTATGGTATATCCTGCAGACTGATCGCCAAAGGAGAGCGGGCCGGAAGAGAGGCCACGGGGGAGCAATTCGCAGGACAGAGTGCGGATGGAGGCACGACGGAGTAGAGCGTAGTCTTCTGGGTTTGCGGGCCCGCGCATGGAGAGATAGGTGACTACGTGGGTGTGGCAGGAGGAGTCCGAGGAAGAGTAGGACGAGTGCACTGACACGGGAGAGTAATAGTTATTGCTGCTGCTCCCGTTGTGGTGGTGCTGGTGGGAAGAAGAAACGGAGGTCGAGCAGGTATGTGATCCATCATCATCGTCGTCGTCATAGTAATTGCTGTGGCTATTATTGCTGTTGTTGCTGTTGCTGCTGCTGCTGTTGTGCATGTAGTGATCTGCATGGCTGCCGCGGCAGGCAAAGACGACTTCGCGTGACCGCAGGACAGGACTGCTGTGAAGGCCACGCTCCTCGACCGAGCCATTGCCGTCGACAGGCAGCTGTTTGCTGACGTCCTCGGGCAGCTTGAGACGGCAGCTGGCACAGGTATCTCTGTCGCAGGCAGCACCGCCAAACCGGGCAGCAGCGGCGGCCTTCTTCAGGTGTCCAGCACCACCACCACCACCACCACCACCACCAACTGCACCGCCGGTACCGCTATTGCTAGTATTGCCATTGCTGTAGCTGCCACCGTTATTCGCAGCCCTGACGGGCCTCTCAGCCGTGAACCAGGGATGGTCTTCTATCCGCGGCGCCGTAACGGGCGCAGAGGCAGGCGGGGTGGCGAGTGGTTCGATGGCCGAAGTGGTGATGCAACGATCGGACGAGGGCGAAGAGGAAGAGGTAAGCACATCGGCCGCTGCCGCGCTGGCCGCGCCAGGCGCATCTCTGTCCCTGACATGCAGCGAGCCCGCGGACGAGGAGGAGGACGAGGACGGTGATCCGTTCGGCGAGGAGGCAGGCGAGTCGGGGGTGCACTGCCGGCAATGGGCGGGCAGTATCTGCGAGCAGAGGATGGACGTCGGGCCATGCACTTCGCAGAAGTGCGTGAGGGAGAGCTGAGCAGAATAGATGTCAGCAAGTAGTAAGTAACAAGTAGTGACAAGTAGTGACAAGTAGCAGGGAGCACCTACGATGAAGTCCATGGTGAACGTCAGGCGAGAGTGAGCACTCTGGCGCGAAGAGACATGCTTCCGCGAGGGAAGGTGAGAGGTGTTCTGATGGTGTTTTGGTGACGGTGAAGTCGGTGATGTCAGGCGCTGGCTGGCTGGCTGGCTGGCTTGTATATATTATTATTATCCTCCGTCAGATACGACGACGACGACCCAAGTTCGACCCAGCAGCCAACACAAGCAAAAAGACCGCGCTGTGGAGTAAAATAAGATTAAAAAAGAAAAGAAAACGAGCAGAAGAAGCAAAGAAGCCACCGAGGGAAAAAGCAAAGTGACGAAAGGGTTTCAATTCTTCTTTGCTTCTTCTGCGTCTCTTCTGGCTTCTGGCTTCTGGCTCTTCTTGTTCTTCTTGTCCTTCTTGTCTTCTTCTTGTCTTCTTCTTCTTGTCTCTTCTTCTGCGGTCTTCCTGCGTCTTGCGTCTTCTGCGGCGGCCTCGGGAATTTTACCCTTTTATCTCCTTCAAGGGCCTCCTTCGTCGCCTGCTCGTGCGACGCCGTCCTGCTCGGCTGCGACGTCGGCCGGAGATGGCAGTCTGAAGTAGATGATGATGATATGATTCTTTGTGAGAGACTCTCCGCCTAGTCAGTATCTACTTAGTACTGTAGTCCTGTAAGGAGCAGCCCCATGCGGCCTTTTACTCGTCTTTATCTGCTATCCCCCTAATATAAAATATAATAATACTTGGGCACCGTTAAAAAGACGCTTCTTCCTCTCAGCCTGCTTCTCGTCCAGCCGGCGGGTCTGTGGTCGTAGCAAGGGCGCCTTATTATCGACTCGGCCACCAAGGGGCATCCTTACCACCCCGATCACGCAACTCTTCAGGTTTTTTCTGGCTTGTCTCTCTTCCCACTCTCCATGCTGTTGCTTCTTCTTCTTTTTTTATTCTCCGTAATAATAGATCGCTGATATTATTATTATTGTTCTTGGTCGGCCTATAAAAGCTGATCTATATAAGTACTTAAGAATGCCGTATACGGAGTACTTACAGCGTGTATTTTATGTCAGCGTATTTTTCGGTATCGATGTTACATTACACGTGACTTCCCGAGGTCCTGGGTCATCGCCAAGGCCTGGACCTCTTACATAAGCAGGGTTACATGCGAGAGAAAAAGTTGAAGATTCGAGACGGCGAGGACGGCGACGACGAGGACAACGATAGTTAAGTCGATAGTCAGGAAGTAATAAGGAGTAAAAGGGAGAAGGAGAAGAGAAGAGACCAAGACGAAGATGTAGAGACCAAGACACAACCATCAGTCAGCCGCTGCTGCCCAAGGGGCTGGCCACATAAAAGCAGACAGAACGCCCTTCCCAGACCAGCGTTTCACGCTTCTGCCCCTTAGGCAGCTTGCCTCGGACCTCACGGAGATGGACGGGCTCTAGTAAGTTAGGTCGGTACTTAGTAGTAGTCGTAGTATTATGAGAGTCCACCTCCTCCTCCTTCCAACGGCAGCCCCAGACATGGCCGCCCACGAGAAAAAGGGGGCACTCCATCGCCTCGTCAGCATTGTGGGATACCGTTGCACTCCAAGTGGGCTGCGGCAAGATAGGGGACACGCGAGCAGTTCCCTCCTGTTCTTCTTCTTCGCCTGGTGTCTCCCTTCTTCTCCCTCTCTGTGGCAAAAGCTGGAGCTGGTCGAGATGGCGATGACATGCAACCAGATCAAGGCACAGGACCGAGCCGAAGTGGCATGCCGTGCATGAATGAGGGTTTGGGTTCTTGATGTTGATGTCGATGTCGATATAAGTAAGTATCTCGGCTGTATGTCTGTATGCACGTTTGTTATGTATGTAAGTAAGCCGGGCTGTATGTATGTACGGACAATCGCCGTTAAAGAACCCAAAAGACGGAAGATGACATGGGTTAGGGTAGCACGCACAAACACGCCCTTGTCTCCCGTCCCCCTTCGTTCTTCGTGCTTTCTTCGTCCCTTCTTCGTCTCTTCTTTTCGTCTTCTTTTCCGTCTCTCCGTTGACCCCCCGTTGTCGTCTCTCGCTTCTCTGCCGTTCGGTCGCTGCGGCTCAAAGGGGGACCGTCGTCTCATTATTCTGGCTTGGTCAACCAACAGCCAACGAAGTATAACTCCTCTCCCCTCCATATAAATTCCCCGGACGACGATCCCATTCGTCCATGGACCAGCCGTTCACCGCTCTTTTTTAACATCCTTCATCTCGTTGGTCCAGTCGTTGTCGTGTTCCAGTCCCTCTCCTGCCGTCGACCGGGAAACTCGTCACCTCACATACATACTTACATCCATCCATACATACAGCATTCCGTACGTACAGGATTCCCCATGCATGCACAAGTTTCTATACTTGTGTGAGGATAAAGATGCATGGCATCGGCATCTCTCTGTCTTCATTGGGCATCCATCTCTCTCATCCTGGACGGCCTCGCATGGCGGTTATTCACAGACAGGACAAGGGGAGGGTGGAAAGGGAGAAAGAAAAGAAAAAGGAAAACAGCCGAACCCTTGACCCCTGCCTCTGGCTTTTTCTCTCTCTCTTTTTCTCCTTCGTCCTTCGTCCTTGAGTCATAATTATCGTCATACAGGGCAGACAGGCCATCGTAAGTAAGTAATACAAGGCCCGTTTGAAGGAAAAAGAAACGAAGAAACACGCCGGACGAAAGGCGGAGGGATTCGTTTCGTTTCTTCTTCTTCCTTCTCTCGCCCTTCTCTCGTCCTGGCTCTGCTCTTCTGCCCCATGGGGAAAGCCAAAATGTGATGTTCCAATCGCTTGGTGTCGATGGTACAGATACACATCTCAACAGCCCTTCGTATATCTGGCTTGTTCCAGGGACCATACTTCCATAGTGCGATAGTACCATTTAGCTGCAGGCGGAAAGCACGGGAGTGCCGCGGAATTGTGAGCTATCATAGCAGTAGTTGCCTTCTCTTCCTTCTTCGTCGTCGTCGTCGTCCTCTCTTTTCTCGTTCTCCCTTTCTCTGCAGTGGCCTCGTAAACTGTGAATCGTGCGTCGTGTACAGTGTACATCAAACGGTCGACTGCGGCTTTGTGATGCGTCTCCGGACATCTGTACATCCCCCTTTTGCTTTTTTCTTCTTCTTCACCAAGTCCAACTATTACTTCATAGTTATCCCTCGGATCCTTCTTCCGCTTCGTTTCTTTTATATAAAATACGGCTCCCTTGCAAGCCCTCAACCTGGTCTGCGTGGCTTATTCTGAAGTACCTCGCCCTTTCGGCTATTGCCAGGTCTCCCTTGAACAAGGCATATATACAACCCCGATATTAATGATACCTTCTTATGTTTAAGGAGTATCCGTACGGAGCAAACAGGCACTTACGTAGATTAACCGTATCTTCATACAGAGTAAGGATACTCCAGACGACTGCGCTGTGTTTCATCCCTGGACGCGACGAACCGTTCCGCCTAGCCTGGACATGGGTGTCTGGATAGCTGCGTCGAGATTGACCTCAACATGCACGATTTACTCGCGTTCTCGTCCTGACTTACATGATGCAGTTGGCCTGTGTTCGGAGTAACGATGTCGATGCATGTGTACATGCGGTGTCTGTGTATATGTACCCATGCAGTGCGGTGTTTGTGTGCTCTGGCCGTGTAGTTAAAAACAAAATGCGTTCAGCCGCGATGACATGGTCTGCTCCCGTTGGCTGTCCGACCTGGCGGACCGAAGCATCGCCAGCATACTCCGTACATTATAGGCATCGACTCGCCTGTTTGGGGCCTTGCTATTGCTATCCCAGGGATACAATGCATGCTTCGATCCCGTTATCGCCCAGAGTAGCATGTTGATGTTGGATGCTAGCTCGTGTTCGTGACCAAGGTTGGACGATGCCTTGTTTGTAGTCGTAAGTCTTATGTATATCTTATATACTTAGGTTATAGATGTGCATGCATCGCCTATCAATCTATTAATTTATCTGGCCGTGTGTATAGATGAACCAACCGCCCAACCAAAAGGTAACTAACCAAACCAAAAACCCAGGTAGTTAAACCAACCAAAGCTGGAGTATAGAACCAAAGGGGGCCAGACATGATCACCACTCCTGCTCGCTTCCGCTCGAGTCCTCGTCCTCGTCCTCATCCTCGGCCTCGTCGTCTCTTCTCAGCTTCCAGATGGCCCTCGTCTTCTGGTTCTTCCCCAGATTCCCGCTCTTGGTCTTCTCAGGCTGTACCCACGGCACCCGCACTGCCCTGTACAGCCTCTGCTTCAGCCGTTCCCGATAGATCTCCCGCTCTTCTCGACTCCTCCCCTCGCTCTGCATCTTCTGCAGCTGTGCAGAAAGGTGTTTGTGCGCCCACTTAGCGGCAAAGTATTCCTCCGTCAAGGCCCAGTCAGGGTTATCGAGATGGCCTCGTACAAGCACGATTTGATGTCCTCGCTCCAACGCATCGCGCACAGCCGCAGATCTTATGGGCATGATAAGCTCCAAAGCCTGGCTAGAGGTGTCGATGCCCCGGACCAGGGCTAGACCAAGCGAGTGTGAGTGCTGCGGGTTCAGATGCGCGCATGTTCCGTTGCCGCTGAACAGATAAGGGATGCCTTCCTTGGTGCGGTGTAGATGTGGCTGTAGCCTCTCGGCTATGGCCTGTCGTTTTGTCGCTGCTGCTGCTGCTACTGCTGCTGGTGATGTTGCTTCTTCTGTATCACCTTCGTCTTCTTCTTCAGCCGCGTCTTCGGATCTACTATCCTCTTCTGCACGGAAGAGCATATCGATGGGCTCGACGTCATCGGGAACCGGTTTGATGGCGTCGGCATGTTCAATTGCCACGACGGCCACTATGGCCGCATCCAATAGATCGAGTATATGCTCCTTATCGTAAGGGAAGCCAGCTATCATCACACCAAGAATGCCTTGGCTGCTGCCCGAATAGTTCACTTTCACCGCGCGCGTATGGCACAGAGGAGTCGCAGACCAGTGCACGCTAGTCGAACTTCGCTGCTCACACAAGAATGCGCTGGTCGGATGTCGACTCTCTTGCATGTGAAAGTAAGATAGCATCTGCATCTGGCGTAGCTGGCCACGAGAGCGCGTCGCATATTCTGTTGGCTGCGAAGGCAGCGTCCAGAACGGGATGCGGAATTGACTTGCCACAGACTTCAGGGGCCCAGCCACTTCTTCCGGCCCAGTTTCGCTCATATATACTACATCAGACAGCCTAAGCGCCTCCAGGAATCCGGTTAGAATCTCTAGGCCCTGCCCAAAGATCCAGCCGGGGTAGTTGATGATTAGCGGACACCGCGAGTAAGTTTCATGCATACTTGTATAGTAGTACCGTAGAAGGTTCATAGTGCATTGAACATAGTGTTTCGAGTCGTCCTTGGGAGAGCTACTGCCGATATGATGTGCTCGGATGATTGAGCCGTCCTCTGGGCATAATACTGGGTGCGACAGAGGCGGTCCTAGTGTAGGCGATCGGATATGCGCTAGATAGACATGGCCTATCGGTGAATACTCTGGTTGCCCGGGATCCAGATCAAGGAATAAGACGCCATCGCCGTGTCGCGCCTTGTTATTGTCTTTCTCTGGTTGAAGACTGAGTAGGTGATTGAGCAGGTATCTGTTGAATGCTGATTTCCCCGACCCCCCTGGACCGCAAGTGAGAACGTTTAGATCCCTACCGCGCTGGGATAGACGCTGCATCATCAAACTCCATTTCTTATGTAGATGCAATGGCCGAATATGTCGCTTGTAGGGATCTTCCACAGACGAGCCCATCTATCATAAATTTTCTTGAATTAGCATGCCAACTATCGTCATACTTAAGAGAGCTAAGGAAAGCTTACGAGTGAAAACGAGGCATCCTCCTTGCTGAGAGTCAACATGCATCGAGGCGATATCGCCATGGGGCTATTCCATATGCGATCGAACAGGTTCGATACCTTCGCGAGCTGAGGCAGGCCGTCGTCCACCGATATTAGCTCGAATTCTGAAAACCCATTCAGGCCCGAGATGGACTTTAAAATTGGCAGTGAGTGTGTAGACGGGGCATAGACTCTGTATAAACGATCACACGGGTATAGCTTTGCTCCCATCACGCTCACTACCCCTCGCTTTACCCAGAGGTCATAACGACCGATAATCGCCAGTGACTGCTCGTGAATTAGTGAAATTTGTGCTTCTAACTAATTAAAGGGTGCAAGCAAGCATACCTCCCCGATCCGTAACCGTAGACAGAGAGCGTCATCTCTAGCGTATACGATGTCGTCTTGAGTGAAGGTGCTCCGTGACAGAATGAATCCTTCCTGAGCTGGTCCAGGCCCATTCCTAGCACTTCCTTTTAGCAACTGTATTTCAACATCACTGACTAGATATGAATTCACCTCTCTCTCTTGTTCCCTGGCTGCGTAGGCTCTCTTCTACTGCCGTTCGTTATCGCTTGACCGGCTCCCCCTGGACCGGCATTGCGGACACCTGGCGCACGCTTTTGGAAAATCCCGGCCTGGTTAGGGGGTATCGGGGTCGGCGATGCATCTAATTCCTGTGACGAAGAGCTTTCCGAGTACACAGGTGTAGGCGCTCTCTCGACCGCAGCGTTGGCTTGACGGGCCCTTTGCGCAGCAACCGCGCTGAGAGCTAGCCAGTAGAAATGGTAAGCAATTGATGCCCATATGAAAATCAGGAGAATCCCAACCTACGCGGCTGCAATTGTTCTGTCGTCCTTCGTTTCATCGTCTGGACCGGCCTCCCTTATGACTCCAGGGACCAGCAAGTGTTAAACGAGTGTTATCTTCTTCCATCTCTCGCTGTCGACTGAATTTTGTTTCTTTTCTTTCTGTTTCGTTTTTTTTTTTTTTTTATCTTTATCTTATCAGCGTTTGGATGTGGCCCGTGCTCGGCGCAAAAAGGAAAAAAAGTTTTAAATGAAAAAAAATAAAATAAAAAAGAACAACCTTGAAGAAGACGAAGATACCAGAGATATCACCGTTTTGTTTATATTTGGACAAGATAAAGGCTTGAGGCGTCTTCTGTGTATCTTTTTTGCAGAGACGCTAGTTCCAATTCCGGCTGAGAAGCGTGCGATTCCTCGAAAACTCGATATAGGAAGCTTCGAATCGGCTGTGCAAAGTACAATATGAAGGCAGCGCCGTTGAGCAAAGAGACAGTCTCGGACAGCTCGAGTTCTTCGGAGAGCGAGGAGGAATCAACGTCTTCAGAGGAGCTGGAGCAGAAGCAGGAGAAAAGCAAGGAGCCCGTTGAATCAACACAGGAATCAAGTGATTCCGGCTCGGAAGATGAATCCTCTGAAGATGAATCCTCTGAAGAACAGACACCACCACCTCCACCGTCTACCAAGAAGAGAGTAACAATACAAGAAGAGTACGCAATTGGCCTGCATGAGGGCTCCTTATATTGATGTGCTCCCTTAGCTAACGCCTTGCCCTATAGAAATACGGTCAACCCGGTACCAACAAAAGCATACAAGCCTCCGCCGGGCTTCCAGTTCATGCAAAAGTCATCCACCCAGCCTAGCGACATATCACAATTACTATCTAACCTCGACGGCAAGCAACTATGGCATATAACCGCCCCCATTGGCATTCCGGTGTCGTCGATAGAGAGTCTTGCCATGGACGCAATCACAAGCGGAGAGCCGGTCCTAACACACAAGGGAGAAGCCTACAAACTACAAGAAAACCAACTGGGGGGCTCTGAGAAGCAGAAATCACTACTGGTGCCAGACAAAAACGGCAATGTCTACCGTCGACACAAGCTCCCGGTGTCTCGAACGTACCATCTAGAGCAGGTCGTCAAAATTCCGCAGGGGGATAGTTTTCATGCCAATGGATCGGTCGACATATCGGCCTTGACGAAGA